CAGAATTTAATGAAGTCTAAAATACTGGGGAGGGGACTTAAACTGAGAATCTATAAAGTTCTGATAAGACCAGTAGTCACATATGGATGTGAAGCCTGGACATTAACTAGCTTTGATGAGCAACAACTTAGAATATTTGAACGCAAAATATTACGGAAAATCTATGGTCCAATACAGAATAGTGATGGCTCCTGGAGAATTAGGATGAATCATGAACTAGATTGTATCATACAGGGAGCAGATATTGTGAGGCTGATCAAAAGCAAAAGGTTAGCCTTGCTTGGCCATGTTGCAAGAATGGAAGGAAACAGGGTAACTAGAAGAGTGATGGAATGGAGACCGATGGGAAGAAGGATGAGAGGGAGACCACGGAAACAATGGATAGACGACGTGGAAGAGGATGTGAGGACGATGGGAGTAAGGGGATGGAGAAGAATTGTGAATGATAGGACAGAATGGAAAAAAATTCATTGAACAATCTAAGACCCACACAGGGTTATAACGCTATAAGAAGAAGAATAAGAAGGAGAAGATGTACATTTAACATACTGCTGATACCAAAATGGAATCTTGCAGCACCTCACATTTTATTTGGAGAATACGTAAGTTTGTTTAAATTTATCTGTAAAAAAATGTAAGTAATTTCATATGATCAAAGCAGAACACTGAATAAGATGATGTTCTCACAGCAAAAAAGTATGAAGATGGCTGTCTACTGGGATGTTGCACAGTGTGGTCTAGTAGGTATTGACTGACATTTCAGAGCAGTTTACTGCCTCAAACATGTGGATGCCAGAAGATAGAGTCTATAAGCTCCTCTGAAGACAGCCATCTTCCTATAACACTTTAATTTGTAAGTAAGTAATGTTGTATTATGTTCATCTCTTAGTAATATTAGAATCAAAAAATTTCAGTAAGTTATTTACAAATGACCAAATTATAATCTTAGATAGATTAAAAATAAATATTAATAATAATCAAAATTAAGTTCTGCTGTAGCAAAGTAAACACTTGATTCCAAAATTGTTGGTCTCATATTGAAAGACACCAATACAACAAAAGATATGCAAATACTTTTATCTCACCGACACAAAACATATCCCTTCCCTGAAGCAGCAAGATGTTATTTTCTTCACCTAGACTTATATTTTCCTCATTTATAATATTAGCAAAGGATACACATGCATGTGAGTGCACACACACACCTCAAGAAAACCAGGTATTAATCAAAGGATTTCATCATCTTATTCACACCAGCTAACAACATAGACCCACCAAATCACATTTCAAACATGGTTTTGTGCATGTGGTGAAAGCTGCATTAACAGCAAAAATAAATATACAGTACTTGTTTCGACTCTTTCTTTCTTTCTTTCTTTTCTTTTTTTTTTCTTTTTATTTTTCTGAAACTTCCTCTGTCACATCCACATGATAGTTGCAATAACAAACAATATGATGATACAATTAACCATCATGGAAAAAACAGCTGGACAATTAGACTATCATGTGATATTGAAACCACTTTTTAGAAGTTAATTGCAAGTCTTCATATCAAGAAAACTTGTAACTCCCTCCTTTAAAATGTATGAAAAGGTTCACTGTTTCTATGAAGAGCAATTGTTTCCACAACACACATACATCTCTCTATAATTCTGGAATCAATGTTTTCAATGGAATTACCAATATAAACTATGGCACACTTTATTCACATACATCTCTAAATATTATATTCACCTTCAAAGAGCAGAAAAATTCTTTCATAGGCCCATTAAGAGAATACAGAACCAATAATTCAAAACATTTAATAAAATTCTTTTGAAAAATGAATGTTAAATATCAGCAACAAAGTAAAAATTAAACACAAACGAAATCAATGTTCATTTCACTTACCATGAGTATGGACACGCATGGAGCTGGCTGTAATGTCTGTGGTTACTGTGAAATAAGGGAGCCATAGATCTTCAATGTGTGTATCCCCAAATGTGCTGAAGATAGTTTGATTGAAATCCCTTCCAGAAAACATTGATGTTATAGGATAAGTCAAATCCAGGAGCTGACGCCACCACTGAGTTAATTTCTGTGACACATAAATAGAATGTTACAATACCGAACAATTATGCGAATTAAAAATACACTCAATTAGTAAGCAACAAGGCTGCCACCAAGAATAAACTGTACTCCTTACTGCATCTTCCACACTCATTATTGGTCAGATATTTGCAAAAAAGAACAATGAAACTTTAACTTTCCATCACACATGTCTGTTAGTACATCGTTGAACATTTAGTTGTGAATTTTCAACAATGTCACTTTGTCTAACACTTTCATAAAAACTCAGTTACTTTTTTTTTTAAATAGTGTGACTCATTCTCTCAGATCTATATTTCTATAACACTTCTGACTTTTGCAGAACTTACTAACTAGAAATAAGGATCACTTTAGTTTCTGATGCTTTTCGTTCACCACCAACCAGTAGTGAAGAAGTTAAGTCACTGTTAACCTATTCTGGCCTTATCACCCAAAAGTCTTTTTTCTAATCCATGAGGTTTGTAATTTTGTAACACCATGGGTAGTCTACATTTTTGCATCCTGTCAATATTTCAAAATCTTTTCCTACATAGGTTATAATAGGAAGCAGGTTCATCAACCAACTTAACTATATTTATATCTCATATGCCACAGTTTTGGTCCTTTAGGTGTCTGTTAAAAAATATACATAAAACACAAAATTAAATTGTAGTTAGTATGTAGTTTTGATATTCTATGAATACTTTTAACAGGTGTTTGAGAATAGGGTGTTGAGGAGGATATTTGGGCCTAGGAGAGAAGACGATGGGGCGTGGAGAAAACTGCATAATGATGAGCTTAAAAATCTGTACTCCTCCCCCAGTATTGTCAGGGTGATAAAGTCAAGAAGAATGAGATGGGTGGGGCATGAAGCGCGCATGGATGGGACGAGGTGTGCACCAGGTATTGGTTGGGAAGCCTGAGGGGAAGAGTCCGCTGGGGAGACCTAGACATAGATGGGAGGATAATGTCAGGCGAGATATATCCAGTTTTGGTCCTTTAGGTGTCTGTTAAAAAATATACATAAAACACAAAATTAAATTGTAGTTAGTATGTAGTTTTGATATTCTATGAATACTTTTAACAGGTGTTTGAGAATAGGGTGTTGAGGAGGATATTTGGGCCTAGGAGAGAAGACGATGGGGCGTGGAGAAAACTGCATAATGATGAGCTTAAAAATCTGTACTCCTCCCCCAGTATTGTCAGGGTGATAAAGTCAAGAAGAATGAGATGGGTGGGGCATGAAGCGCGCATGGATGGGACGAGGTGTGCACCAGGTATTGGTTGGGAAGCCTGAGGGGAAGAGTCCGCTGGGGAGACCTAGACATAGATGGGAGGATAATGTCAGGCGAGATATATCGGAGATAGCAGTCGAAGGAGACTGGATTTTGTTGGCCCAGGACAGGGTTTGGTGGAGGGCTTTGGTTAATTTGGTGATGAACCTTCGGATTCGGTAAGCCATCTCGTTAGTTAGTTAGTTAGCTATGGACACTTTTAAACAGATGCATGAAGATGGCCTAAATGCAGTTAAGTTGTGCTGATGAACCTACTATTTGTTATTAAGTTAGATACACGACAGATTGTAACCTTTTATTCAAAAAAAACTATTTTTTTCTTCTAGGTAAATCCTCAAAATATTCAGAATGAAGACTGACCTAAAGTTTCCCAATAATAAACTTTCAATTAATGATAAGGCAAGCAACTTGTATATATAAAGCCATTCAAACACAAGAAGATTATCTTGACCCTTCCAAGACCATCTAACAACTTCTTGCTAGCATTCCATCAAGACAGCAATATACATCCTATCCAAAATCATTCTAAACACCATTCTTACTAGCTTTAAAAAATAAAAATAAAATAAATAAGAAAATTCACATTCCTCCAAAATGTAATTATTATGATGTAACTTATTCTCCTTAAAAATTGAAACCTATTTTCAGCACCACACACACTTGAAGTTGTCAGAACTGGCATTAATTGCAAGGTGAAAGCACATCTCACCCAATGACAGTGCCAGAATTTTGTAAAATTAAAAATTCTTAAAAGTAGGACTTCTTCCAGTGGGCAGGCATTCAAAATAACACAATTTATCCTAACCACACCTAATTATGACAAAATATTATATATATATATATATATTCATAATTAAATAAAGTGGGATTGATCAATCTATGCAATAACTAGCTAAGGCTGAATGGCCAAGTTTTGATTCCTAGCTGAGGTAGGAACTTCTATCTTCACTACAAAAATCAGACTAGCTCTAGGATCCATGTAGTCTCCTATGAAGCAGCACTTTCCTAAGGTATGAAATGGACAGAGGGTTAAGCTGACCACTCACCTATGTCTAGTTCTGGGGTTAAGAATGTGAGAGATTTTAATTCCACAATTACCTTTGCCATGGTGCGGTGCTTAAGCACAGGGATTACTTAACCAATATCATTATAATTATAAAGCTTGATCTAAAACAAATTACAGAATTAGGTTTAGATAAATATACCAGTATAAATAAGAGCAAGAAATAAAATACTACATCTACTTCAAATTAAAGGTACTGTACACAAAAATACAAAGAAAATGAACAAACCTTTGACCATTCACGAGCTTTCTGTGTCATAGTTGTAACATTTTTCTCTGCACACCATAATGCTCCCATGAAGGCACCAATGCTCACACCACCTACCATGTCAATAGGAATGCCAGCCTCCTGAATAGAGCAGTGTAAAGTCAAACACTGTCATGCAAATAACTGCAGTTAATAGTACAGTCAGAGACTGTAATAAATGTTCCACAAATTTAACACAAATAATATAAAAGCCTGCCATTAAGTCCTATCTCAGTCAGTTCACTAAAATGTTTCTTGAAAAGTAGTCTACATTGAAAAAACATTCCTTCTGGATTAATGTAAGTAAACAACACAGTATGACTCATAAGGTTGATTGAAGCATGGCTGAATTTATAAATGGTTAATACCTGCCTCACTTTACTGAACTTATCAGTTGAACCAAGTTTCTTTTACATAAGCAATATAAATATGTGAAGTAATTATACCTGAATAGCTTTAATCATGCCTACATGTGCAGCTCCTCTGGCACCTCCCCCACCAAGGACCAGTCCTACAGACATACCACTGAGCCATCTTGCCAAACGTGAGAAATCTGAGTGGATATTTGGTTCACACATGAGCACTTTCATATATAATTCATTCTGTATTAGAGAATACAAATAAAAGTACATATTAACACAAGAAATAAATAACAGCAGTACATATACAACAACAATTTTAAAAATGAAAAAAATTGGGTAAACAATCCATGTTTTGAAAATTAGCATTAACTCCAGATAGTTTTCATAGAATATGGTACTATTTTCTCTTTTAACCTTTATCATCAATTTTTCATTGCTTATGTATGGTCCAAATGACTGTGCTTCACAGTAATATCAGCAGGATTTAACTGGTTTCAATGAAGTGGCACTGATAAATCAGAAATAATCATAGAACGGCACTTCAATGTCGAGGCATCAAGCTGTCTGAACTACTGCAAAATTGCAAGTGTATTTATGAGCAAACACAAGCATTTACACTAAAAATTGGCAAACTATTTTATGAGTATTCATCATAAATCTTGGAATAAAACACCATAAAGCTTAAAAACAGTTTAAACGAAATGAGGTAAAGAAATTACAACTGACCCTGATTCAATGTCCTTGGAAAAATATGTAGACACTTAAATGAATTAACTAATTTCTGTAAATGAAAGATAATTTTCTAAAATTAACATCTGTATTGTATTTGTACTCCAAGAGAGAATTTCATTTATCCCAGCTCAAGCATAAACTCTTTAAAAAATTAAAACATTTTTTTAAAAGTGTAACCCTTATGACTTACTATTCTATATTGAGATCGCCTGATGAACATTCTCTTGCTGCACTGTATATGATGATGTGTAGAGACCCAACTCCTGTTGTTTAGCCAGGCTACTGTGTTCTTTGGTTGATCAGCTCCCTCACGATGCAACAATACTAGTTCCTTATGAGTACGTATTGTCAACCGTTCCACCTCTTTTTCAATCTGAAAGTCACTATAACTTCAATGTGTGCTTATTCAACTCAATTGTACAAATTCTAATAAGCTATTTGAAAACAAGCGGTTTAAAATATAGTACTCATATGCTGTCCTGAAAACAATCCTCATGATAAAACTTTATTCAACTAAAACAATATGAACTATTCTCCAAGGAATGTAAAAAGCGCTAAATAAAAAGTATTTAACAAACATACATTCCAGTCCCTTTCTTTCCCACCAACATATACACATACAAAAACATATATGTGCAACTCAGGATATAATTAATCCTGATGCAATGCAACATTACCTTGCCAATACCAGGTCCTTTATCTGCCAAACCAACAATCAATATGCAATCAGCCTGACGAACACAGCGCTGAGTCCACGGTGTGAAGCTCATATCACACTGATAGAGTGCAATCTTGTGCTGATCTTCTTGTTGAGCCAGCCATGATGTAAGACGATATTCATTATTTGGATCAAGAATAGATGATCCCAAGGATTTTCGTATTACATCTGATGTCAGACGTAGAGTAGAACCTGCAATAATTCAAAACTACTTAAAATTGTGTGAACAAACAAGAATGATTAAACATCAGTCACAAAATTCCAGGTTCTTGTTGTGATGAGTATGAAGAAGGCTGTCCTTTGGGATATTGCACCTTGTAGTCTGACAGATACTGACTGATATTTCACAGAAGCTTACTGCCTCCAACATCAGGACAAAGATTGAGTCAGTAAGATGTTCCACTGATCAATGTTATATTGCTTACAGCTATGCCATTACATGGTTATCACTTGATGAATTAAACAGTTCCAAGTAACAGAATAGTGTTGAACACTGATCACTTACAAAAATGCACTGAATGGTTAAAAAGCAATGAAACAGTAGTGAATACAGATTGCTTCAACATTATAAAAAAGAACTATGGTTGCCTAGCAAGACAGTATGAAAGGATTTTCCATACAAGATTTTTTAGAGCATCCACTTCTCTGAATTAATCATACCAATTTTCCCCTCTAGAAGCACAAATAATTAAGTCTAAAATAGCAATAATAGTAACAGCAGCAGCATATGCCAATAAAGGCCAGCATAATGATGTCAGTAGCTGGATAATTTACAGGATGATGGTGTCACCAGTTCCACATCTCGCCACATACCCAATTGCCTTGGTTGTAACATAGCTTCACCCACATAAACAATAACAGTGATGATGATAAAATAAACCTACAAGTGTATATCTTGAAGGTCCTCACAACACACAGCTCAACATGGCTTAGATCCATTATTTTTAAACAGAAGCAATAACCTACCTATAGCACACAGTGAGTGGTACAATTCGTATGTAAAAGCCGTGAGAGGAACTTCATCTGATATCGGAACAATTGCGACTGTAGAGAAATTGCCTTGTGAAGGTGGTGCATCCATAGTATGTTTGAGGTTTGGTTGCTGCCAAGAACCTACAAGATAAATGAAGTCCATTTTAATGACAATAATTCTGGGAGTCCTGCTTCACTGGCAGTTTAGGTACTGTAAGGTTGTAACCATGCAATTCTACTAATTTCTCCAACTTCAACACATCTTCATCCCTCCATATATTTATTGTCCTATAAAACATTATATGAACTTTCAAATCTACCTATGCAGCCACATGTTATAAATCTCACAGTATGAAAGAATACAAAATCAAATTTTGCACTTAATTGCTGCACTCCTTACATTTTGCCAACTCTGTACTAACGTGCAGCTCACCATACATGCATATGAATTCAAAGACTAAATCTAGTAATACTGCACTTATTTCTTTCAATAATTCCTGCATACAAGAGATCACAGGAATCAATGAAAGAGTTGCAACATGCCTACCAGAAATATTACATAATCAGGTTGTCACAAATTAATTTCATTTGCATATTAATGGAGGCTACTGGTTTTGGCAAACAGTCTGAAGTACTGTCACATTTCCCCAAAGACATGCAAGGATGCACATTTTAAATGAACACTCTTATTACTTTCAATTCTTCATATCCAAATATTCTCATCTTTCTGAACACTACAATGTATTCTGCAAACTAACAACAATAACTTAATATCTTATCACACTGAAGCAATAGCTAAGAAATATCATACCTAGAATCCTATGACCAAGAAGATTAATGAGTCTAGTAACCACAATTGGAAATCGAAGTTTGATAGCATTAAACAACCCTTCTGGCAGTTTTGCTAGCTCAGAGTCTCTCACAGCCATAACAGTAGTGCTTCTAGGGGTCTGAGTCACCATCTCAACCTGGAAAATTATTAATGTGATGTACCTTCAAACTGCATGTGAAAAGTTTGAAATGCCATCCATTTGCTCTCCAAAAAGCACACATCATAATGCACTAATTACACAGTTATTCTACCACTTACAATTCCCACCAAATCTCCTTTGCCATATTCACCGACCAGCTCTTTCTTTCCATTACTCTGCGTAATAACAGATCTCAGTCGGCCACTCAGAACAATAAAAGTACTATCAGATTCATCTCCTTGCCTGTAAATATAAATATAAATACTTAATTTGCATAAGAGACAGACATAATATATAGTGTAGTTTGACAGAACATACAGCATAATGTTCTGAGAAAAATATGAAATACAAAAATGACACTACAATACTAAGTGGAAGAACTTTTGAAATACAGGCTTCAGGAAAACATGAAGCATGCAAGGGGATATGAGAAATTCACATAAAATGTGAGTCAGAAAACCTGCAGGAAAAATACCATTTGTAAGACCTAGGTGTAGATCAGATAACATTAAATCTGATCTCAAACATATATGACGTGAGGGTGTAGACTGAATTCTAATGTGGTGGGCTACTATGAATATAGTAATGGACCTTCAGTCTCATAAACCATTAACCAGTTGAATGATTTAGGTTCCCAAGAAGAACAGAGTTATATTTAATTTAATTCTAAATAGTTACTGGGTGCACACCCTCAGACAAAATAAAATGTAATAATTCACCTAACTGCATGTACACAAATGGATATTTCTGGACGTAGATGGACTCATGGCATCTGAACAAAACACTTGTGAGCATAAAATTCAATGTATATATTCTTTCAGTAGTTAGTTGGGTTGATACAGAAAATGTCTACATACTCAGCAGTTCACAGATTACTTAAAGACACTGCATTAGCATAAAATTAGGTAATGAAGATGATTTTATACTGTGAACTA